AAATCAAAGTGTTATAAAGGCCCAGTGCAGCCCCAGAAAGGTTAAATCCTCTCCTTCAGCAGGTGGGATCAGCCTGCCTGAACTGACAGCTGCAGATGGTTCCTCTTTTCAGGCAGAGGCAGTTGGACAGGCCAGGTGCTCAGAAACCATGTTCAGCAGAGGCTCCAAGGAATAGGCAAGGGTTGTTTTCCAGTTTTTCCTGGAGCAGCTGGACTTGGAAACAGTTGCTGATCTGTAGCAGCATGGGTGACAGCTTTAGCAGTGCACCAGTGCTATAAAAGAAGCCTTTGCCCAAACCACCAGAAACACGGGCAGCCTTCCCCGTTCATGGCTGTTATACACAGTGATCAGGGAGCTGCTGCAGAGGCAGCTGCTTTTCCCCTTGCAGGAGGGCAGTTTCTTAGGTCCTCTGTGTGTGTCTGTATGGCCATGCACAAGTGCTGCTGCAGAGGGGAGACCACGGTTTGAATGGAGCAGCTGGTGCCCTTGCCTGTGCAGTGTAGGACAAGGATTTAGCCTGCTGTTTCCTCTCTTGGTTTTGGTGGTAGAAGCTGTTGGTTTCTGATTTTGCTGTGAAAAGTCTTGCAAGTTATCAAATACTTTTTTTTTTTTTGGGGGGGGGGGGTGGTATTGTCTGAATCCCAGTTCACTTAACTAAGAGCAGTATTTTCTTGAAAGTCAGGTTCAAACTCCTTCACCTGGAACACCCAAGGGCCAGTGTGAAAACTGTCCTGTGATGTGCAGAGCAGTGTTTTGTTTAAAAATATGCTTGAACCTAACTAATAAACCACCACCAAAGACAGTGGTTAGAATCTCTGATTGCCTTAAAGCAGGGCTTAAAAACTGTGTAGGAGAGTCAGTGAGGAGCAGGGTAGCTGTGTGGCAGAAGGCAGCCAGAGCTTGGCCTGGCTGGGCTGAGACCCCTGCAGAATGTTCCTATGCTGAGGCAAACACAACGTGGGAGAGAGACAAAGAGCCCAAAGGCAGCAGGATCATTCCAGCAGTGAGATCTCTGCAGTGACCTTCACTTCCCTCCCAAGGAACTTAAGCAAGGAAGCCTCAATTGGCTCTGGTTGCTCCTTGGATGGTTCCATTACACACCAGGGACTCCTCTGGCATGTCACCAGCTGACAGAGCCTTCTCCAGCTCTGTCCCACCCCCTCATTAGAGCACAGTGGAGCATTGGTGGCAACTACCATCAAGTGCCCAAGCAGGGCCAAGACAGCACAGGCTGTGTGTGAGAGGGGCCTTGCTCATCATCACAGGTTTTCTGTATGACAACCACAGCCACTTCTTAGCTGGCAGAGATGTTATCACTTCCACTGTCCCCACATCCTCTTTCAGAGCTCTGTTCTGTCATGGTGCACAGGGGCATTTCCATCTCCTGTTGTGAGTAATTATTTCCTGGAAGACAGCAAAGCTCCATCACTTGGGGAAACACCCTGCATGGACAGTGAAGCACAGGGCAGACCTCAGTGCAGAGCCACACAGCCCTGAGCCTTTTAGAACTGAGTGGGGCTTTCAGGTGTTTGAGGACCAGAAGCCTCCAGCAGGACAGACAGGATACACCAGGGAAGGGGCACTTCCAGAAGAAACCAGACACTGAGAGCAACAAGGTCTCAGCTCATAGGGGAGGCATCTGGCTACCTATGGGAATGGTGCTGAAGTTCTTTCACACTGATTGTTACGCATATTTTTGTTAATTAACATAAGACAGTAGTCTCTGAATTTAAAGCAGCCTGGATTTAGGCATGAGGCTGAGCCCATCCCCTGCTTGCTTTCTCGATGCCCAGCCTGCTTGGGGCTTCTGGCTCACAGGGTGACCTGTGCTGCTTGCTGGAAGACATCTGGCAGAAAAACACATCTGGATCTTGGCAAAGGCAAGCACCTGCATCTTACAAGACCTTGGCCAGTGAGGGGTGAGGCAGGAAGGTGGAGCACTGCCGGACAGCAGCAGGCTACTGTCCTGCCTGTCCTGGTGGAGCACTGCCGGACAGCAGCAGGCTACTGTCCTGCCTGTCCTCTTCCCTTCTGGGGAGATGATTCAGTTCATACTTGGAATCATTGGATAAAGGGCCTCCACTGCTGTGCCAGCCATGGGAGCATATCCTAAGAGCATCTTTCATCCGATGTTCCACCACAGCTTGACAGTGACCCTCTGGGAATTCTGGCTCCTGTAAGAGGAGGGAAAGGAGCTCTGCCTTTCCATGGTTTGCAGGTGGTGGATCTCAGAAAGGGTGGTGTGGCTTTTTGGCCATGACAGTAGGCAGGGGGCTTGCTGGAAGAGGAGTGAGGTCAAATGGACAGGTGGAAATCAGTTTGTACCTGGTGCCTCTGCCTGCCTGGAGGGCCCATAGCTCTGCAGTGAGCTTCACATTCAGCACACGATGGGGTTCCAGGCACCACTGTTCAGCTGTGCATCCTGTGCCTCTGTCAGGGAGTGCATAGGTTGTGCTTATTCTGTACTTGAAAAAGAGAAGAGACATTAAAATAAACCTCATCTGTCTTGTGGCAGAGAACGGCTTTCTCTTTATAAACCTGGAGCAGCTGGGGAAGGGCAAGGTGTTCACATGCTGCACTTTTCCTTCTTGGTCTTCAGCCAAGTCAAGCTGAACTCTGGCTTTTCCAGTTCTGTCCCTGCATGTCCATGCAATGCCTGTGTATGTCTCTTGGCAGCTTCAATGCTGCTGCTACCCCCCATGTTCTTCATTTTTGGATTAAAAGTGATGCAGAATTCTTCACTCACCCAGTCTGGCCTCCTGCTGTACTTGCTTGATGTTAGGATGGATTGCTCTTATCCTTGATCTTCTCCATTGAAAATTCTCCATCAGAAATTCAGGTGGCCACTTCCCATCTACCTCAGCTCCTCCTCCAGACTGAAAAAGCCTCATTCCTTCCACCTCTCCTCACGGGATGTATGACCCAGGCCTCTGATGTCTTCATGGCTCTCCTATGAACTCATTTCAGCTTATTGATGATTTTCTTGCACTGCAAGGCCTGAACACAGCATGGCCTAACAAGGGCCAGGTAAAGGGAGTGATCCCTTCCTGGACCCTGCCAGGTGCATGTCTGTCCGTGCAGCCCAGGATGCTGATGTAACCAGGACATGCTGCAGATGTTCAACCTATTTATTGCCCACTGGGCCCTCTGTGTCCATCTCAGCAAAGCCAGCTTTTCCCATCATGGGACTTTGGATTCAGCCCTAATCCAGTGGTTTCCTCTACCTTATCTCCCCTTTTACTGCCCCCCACCACCAGGCTCACCTGATAGGGTCTTTGCTTGTAATGCTTCTGAGAAAGTAGTAAGGTAAAGAGTGAGGGAATTTAATGCAGAATTCAAAGAAAGAGGGAAATTCAGCAGAGATGCAAACCATTTGCAAGTGCTGAGAATGTGGGAGAAGGCATTTATCCATGTTGGAATGGGGCAAAAGCTTCTGGAAACTGAAAATCTGGATTTTCTGTGAGGGACTTGTGTAGGCAATGAGGCAGGAAACCTTGTCTTGGGGAAAAGGGGTCGAGGAGGGCATAGGAAGGTCATTATGATTCAAAACTCAAGGGGAGCTTGGGAACTGCAGATCCATGTGTTTGTGCACTGAATGGGAAAGAAGGTGGTGTCCTGAGGGGGAGGTGGCAATAGCCCGGGCACATGAGGGAAGAGCCTCACGCCACTGCAGGCGCTGCCGGGGCTTGGTGCTAGCGGGCCAGGCGGGGAAGCAGCTGCCACCTCCTCCGGGCAAGCGTTTATTTCAGGGCTGCTCATGCCTGATGGTCGTCACAGAGACAGAGCAGGTGGGGGGCCCTCCTTGGGCTCACCCAGAGCTGAGTGAGCAGCCCCGAGGCAGCTCCAGGCAGTGGCAGGAGAGGTGACTGGAGAGGTGACCTCCTTCTCCAGCCCGGGGCTGTGGCAGCTCCTCCTTCGAGGAGCTTGTGCACAGGGGAACCTTTGGCTGTCCCGTGTGATAGTTCTCATTAGCAAAGATAATTCAAACACCTGTTGATTTTACAGGTGCAGATTAACAAAAACCGTGGTATTCCTATTTATTTTTTTGGCTGACTTTTGGAAAGTATTTGCTAATGGTTGTCATTAGGATAAGTATTTCGAAGGGTGGTTCCTTCTGTCTCAGTCAGCCCCACGCTGTGGATGCCTGTCCATGCTCTGCCCTCCTGTGGGCAAAAGCATCGGAGCCCACACCTGTCCCACCGCCGAAGGGACAGACGTTCCTCACCGCTGGAATTCGTGTCGGGAGTGGTGGAGCCCAGCAGGGCCGAGCTGGGAGCACAGCCCTGCAGAGACGAGCTCTACGGCAGGATGTGAAGTTCTGTATTTGTTTAAAAAGCCAGGATCTTCAAATTTTGAATTAAATTAATACTTTCAACTCAGTATTTTCAATTTCAACAAATTAGACAGAATTGTCTTTGAAAGCAGAAAACAGTTGAGCATGTTCACCTCAGTTCTCTTTCAGAAGTAAGAGCCCAGTATCTTTTATTCCAACAAAATAGTTTAATTTGTTCCTTTAGATTTGTCTGTCAAACGTCATCAGACCCCACCCAAGCGATACCAAAGTTTTAAATGATGGGGAGAAGGCCCCAGCGCGGGGCTGAGCGGCCTGCGGGACCCGCGGGGACCCCGAGGAGCCGCCCGGGCCCGGCCGAGGGGAACGGGCAGCTCCGCCGGACCCCCCGTGCGGGGCGAAACCCCCTCCCTGTCCCTTCACACCGCACAAGGACCCCAATGAACCCCCCCCATCCCCTCACACCGCACAAGGACGCCCCCCAGCCCCTCACACCGCACAAGGACCCCCAGCCCCTCACACCGCACAAGGACCCCCAGCCCCTCACACCGCACAGTGACCCCAATGAACCCCCATCCCTCACACCGCACAAGGACCCCCCATCCCCTCACCGCACAGGACCCCCAGCCCTCACCGCACAAGGACCCCCCCCATCCCCTCACACCGCTCCTCTCGGCCCCGCCCGCAGCCGGAACCGTCTCCGTCCCGGCGCCCCGCGCGCTCTCGCTCTTTCCGGCCGGGCGCCATTGCCGGGGCTGTGGCGGCTCCGGTCCATCCCAGTCCATCCCGCTCCATCCGCGCCCGTCGGGCCGCGCCGCAGCCATGGCCATCCGCTACCCCATGGCCGTGGGCCTCAACAAGGGCTACAAGGTGACCAAGAACGTGTCCAAGCCCCGGCAGTGCCGCCGCCGCGGGGTGAGTACGGGCTGTGCCGGCCCGCGGGGCCCGGTGCGGGTGTGTCCGTGTGTCCGTATGTCCACGTGTCCGCATGTCCGTGTGTCCCTGTGCCCGTGTGCCCGTGTGTCCCTGTCTCCGCGTGTCCGTGTGTCCCTGTGCCCGTGTGTTCGCAGTGGAGCCGCGGCTCGGGGCCTTCTCCGTGGGCAGGCAGGAGGGCTCGGAACCGCGCGGTGCCCGTAACAGGGGCCGGGCAGGGCTCGGCCGGGCGGGAGGGGAGCAGTGGAGCTTCAGGGGCTTCTGGACTCTCCCACTTTGTTTCTCTTGGTAACGACAACAGGCGACCCCCGTAAAACTGCCCGGTAATGGTGGCTCGGAGCTGTCCCGGTTCGCTGGGTGCGTTGGTTGTTATGAGGCATTAACGCATCTGTGCCTTTCATGCGCTCTGCTTCAGTGCTGGCTGTAGCTGTGGTGTCCGAGGGGCGTAGCAGTGGAAACCTTCGGGATCTCATGGCCCTGCTTTCTCCAAAAACGGTGGTGCTGTCAGTGTGTGAAACCCTCCGTCTTGGGGTGGAGCGAGGACAGCACACCTGGCCAAGCTGGCGTGCTCCGTGGCACCTGCCAGGGATCAGCTCCCTCGGGACATCCCGCAGCAGGGGCTCAGAGAGTGCCGCAGCCCTTTGCAGTCCTGCCCGGGTAAACCAGTGCATGCATCCCTTGTGACCCACGTATCTCCTCCCTCCCCGCAGCGCCTGACCAAGCACACCAAGTTTGTGCGGGACATGATCAGGGAGGTCTGTGGCTTCGCGCCCTACGAACGCCGCGCGATGGAGCTGCTCAAAGTGTCCAAGGACAAACGTGCTTTGAAGTTCATCAAGAAGCGGGTGGGTCAGTCCAGCCTCCTACCGAGGATGGCAGAAACTGCTGTGTCAGCTTTCTGTTTTTCTGCCCTTACTTTGGCATACTTGGCTTTTCAATTACTTCATTTTTTCAGTTGTTTGGGAAGTTACTGGTGTAATCTGAGGGACTGAAGGGGATGGTCCTTGGGTGGGAGACCAGGAGTTGGACACAAATGTACATGTAGCCAAAAAGGCCCTGAGCTTAGGATCCAGATTGCTGTGCTGTTTTTGCATGGTTTGCATGTCTGGTGTGGGGGAGAACAGCACTGATGGAGGTTGGGTACCATTATCCAGGAGACTTCAAAGGAGATTCCTTGAGGGCAACAGTGAGAGCTGAAAGCAGCTTCTTGCTCGCCCCAAATCAGTGGGTCGAAGTGCCACTGAGACGTGATGGCAGCCCCCTGGCTGGAGGTTTGCAGGACTTTACCATTCTGCCTGGTTTTGAGTAGAGTGTCTGCAGTGACACTGCAGCAGCCCCAGTGTGTGCTGGGTGAACACTGACTGCCCCGCTCTCTCCCCACAGGTTGGCACTCACATCCGGGCCAAGAGGAAGCGGGAGGAACTCAGTAATGTCCTGGCAGCCATGAGAAAAGCTGCTGCAAAGAAGGATTGAGTTGTACAGGCTGTGACACAATAAAGTCCTTTCTCCCAAAATCAGGGTAGTGGTGGTGGTACATGTGCTTCAGTGGGTACTGCTGGGGGATACTGACAAGGCCCTGAACTGCAGCCATGCAGAATTTGTATCACTGGTTTATTTTACCTGCAGCTGCTGATACTGGTGGTGCTGTGACTTACTGTGGAGGGGAATCCTCCAGACCATGTGCAGTCTCAGGACACAGAAGTCTGCAATAGCTAAATTTTACCTTCTCCCACCTCCAGACCTAAATGGTGGTAGGAGGGAAGTCATTGGGCAAAAACTGCTGTTGAAAATATACTTTGCAATCCCTTCCTCAGGGCCCATTAGCCCGTTCCTTGTGCAGCTTTTCATGTTCCTGTTTCCCCTTGTACTCTCTGTTCACTCCTGTCTTGTGCAGTGTGTTAACAAGTCATGAGAGAGACCTGGAGTCAGCAAGAAGTCCGGACTTCAGCAAGTGGATTCTTTTTCTGGGCTCCCTTGTTGTGAAACGATGAGGACTGTTCTTCCTGCACAAGGAAATACTTTTCAACTAGACTTCATGTAACTACTCTTTCCCTCTTTAAATTCCTTTTCCTTAGCATTCCTTGTAAGATGAAGTCTTTGAGTTCTCTGGCCCCCAAGCCTGTGCTTACTGACATAGAACAGTCATGTCACAACACTCTGTGAAGGTGAGAGCTGTTGCAGAGGCACAGGCCATCTCTGGTGCAGCAATGCTGACTGCTTACACTGAGCATGGCTCTTCGGCCCAGATCTGCTCTCCTTCAGCCTGGAGTTCTCTGTGGTGCCACTGACCTGGGACTGACCCTGGAGAACCAGGTTCTTCAGCAGCTGTGTACCAGCTCTGCTGAACTGTCCTGGGTTTCAGCATCCCTTCAGTCTAGCACAGGCTTCTAAGTCAAGACAGATTTCTGAGAGCTACTTGCCTTCCACCACACCAGGAGCAAAAGCTGTGCATCAGCCCAGCCCTGGGTGTAGAGTTCAGTGTTTTCCCACAAGCTGTATTGAGATTTACACTGAAAGAATTGAAACATCTCCAACGAGAAGAGACCAGACTAGCCCCACTGCTGGTGGCTGATAACATTGCCCTTTCCTTTGGTAAAATCAGAAATGCTTTATTGTGGATCATAATTCAGTATTAAAGAGTGAGAAATACTTTATTCTAGCAGAGCCATAATTCATTGGGCAGCTGCGCAGCAGCAATAGCTCCACGTCCCCTCCAGGATTGTCCCGTCACCCATCCTGGGCAGAGGCCGAGCGAGGGACTGACCCCCTTCCACAGGGGGGCACGGGGTGTCATCCCCCAGCAGGATCCAGTTGTGAAAATGCTATATCAAATACCTCCTTGTAGTGTTCCACAAAATGCACTTCCAGTCCCTCTGTAATGAATCCAGCAAGGTCATAATAATCCTTTTTGTTCTCTGATGGCAGAATGATGCAGGTAACACCTGCCCTCTTCGCCTGTGGGGAAATCAAAGTAGGGCAGTGTTGAGTCCTAGGAATCCCTCCATCTACTGGGAACACCCTTCTCTCTTTCTGAAGCAAGAGCAGTTACGAGAAGCATGATCCAGCTTTACTCTCCTTTGGAGAGCACCAAGGGCATTCCTGACAAGATGTCACCAGCATGTTCTACATCTCCCTTCAAGCCCCAAAACACACACTCTCCAGTGCCCCCTCAGCTGCAGGGACAGATGGAGGGGGCCACATTTTAGGGGGATTATGTGAGCACACCAGGGGATTGTTTAGAACCATTCATACTATTTTAGAGTTTTAAGTGTCTGTTCCAGCTTGGGTAAGGATAAAGCTTAGGATAAAAGAGTTAGAAACAGGTTATCAGACCAACCTACCCCATCCATACCCTTAGCAACATTCTAGAGAACCTTTTCATTGGGACAGCTGCCCTGGAAGGAGCATGGAACGCAGAGCTGCTCCTCCCGGGGCAGGTTTGTACCCATCACTGCATGGGTGATCCTGCATTTACCCTGAGACCCCTCCCACTCCCGCAAACGCAGCCAGTCAGTGCCACAAGACATTGTGAGCACAGGCTGGTCCTGTGCTGCCACAACCAACCACCCATTTTAAAGTCACCTGAGGAAAAGCAATCACACTGCACAAGGCTGCAGCCCAAACAGGTCTGGGGACAAAACCCTGCTGTGGAAGCCGCAGCTAAACAGAGAAAGAGCCACAGAAAAATGTGTGTGCTGCAAGGCTTATGTAGGCTGGAGTTGTGCAGATGAAAAGTAGGGAGAGAGATTCAATGATTGGAAAGGAATTCTGAAAACTGCAATGGGTTGAAACCAAAAATACAAGACACTAAGTTCCTTTTTTTTCTAATACAGACATCTGTATGAAGTGTTAAGTCAGACAAATTCACACTGGAACAGAGCCTGGATCTTAAAAAGATGTACCTTATGGATTCTGTCAAATCTCCACTGGATACCCTCCTTAAACAGGCTCTTCAACCCAGCACAGATGATTGAACTGTGCCAGTCTGTGACAGAGCAGACAGCTCTGACAGTTGAGGCTGTTACCTTCAATTCTGCCAGTCTAGGTAGAACTGAACTAGGCCAGCACAGCTGGCCTGGCACAAAGCCTGGGGTCCCATCCCTTTCCTTACAGACAAGATCCCCATGTTCCCCTGCCATGTTCTCCACCCTGTGGATGGAATCACTGCCTCCTGCCCCTGCAAGGAGCAGCCCCTCTGGCTGTGCCAGCCCCGCTGGGCCCAACCCCGGGCTCTTTCATGGATGATGCACAGAGACACAAGAAGAGCTCTTACCGCAATAGTCTTCTCCTTGATTCCACCAACAGGCAGAATTTTTCCCGTCAGTGACACCTCTCCAGTCATGGCTACGTTCTGCCTCACGGGGCAGTTCATGGCCAGCGACAGCAGCGCTGTTACGATGGTGCACCCTGCGCTTGGTCCGTCCTTCGGAGTTGCTCCCTGTTTGAAAAGAACAAAGTGCAACACCTCTGCCTTCAGCTCATTCGAGGAGCAGCAATACCCTTGCCCTTGCTGTTTTAGCATTGCCCCAGTTTCACAGGCTCTCACAGAGGCTTTTGAACAGGTGTCACTGATGGAATCCTATTATTTCAGTTGGCTGATGTATTAACAGCTGTGGCATTCCTCACCTTAGTCATGAGGAATGATCCATGAGTCCACAGTTTGGTCTCTGGCCTGATGCCACCACCATACTCTTTGGACTCAGGACTTTGAATAAGCAACATGAGTGAAAAAAAGAGCACAAACTTTGAAGTTCTTTGTTAGACCTAAGAAAACTATGGAAACAAGAAACAGAAGTCAACAGCACAAGGGAAGATCTTCAAGAGTCACAAAATAGTGGAGGACAATACTGAAAATCATTCCAGGCAGAAGAGATCATCCAGTATATAAAGCCCCATGAAATCCAGGCCTGAACTAGTGACAGTCTGGATTTATCTAAGATCAAACAGATCTTTGATGTAAGCACAGAGGAAATGAATGTTTGAGAGGGAGTAGAGACAGAGATCACGTCTGTGCTTTTCTGATCCTCCAAGAAATGAACTCACAGACAACAACCTGGTACCTGGACAGAGGATGCAAACAGTCCAGAAGGAAAACTGGGGCAGAATCCAAGTACAAAACCTGCCTTCAGTAAAGCACCTGCCAAAGCCTGTTCCACAGTGTGTGAGCCTCTCTGACCACTGTGTGTATTTGTTTTCAGTCCCAAATACTGGAGAAACGCAATCACTGCCACTGTAGGGATTAGGAACCATGGCAGAGAGATCAAAAGTAGTATTTCCAATTATGTGTAAATGACCTGAAGCCTTTACCAAGGCCCAGCAACACAGAGACCTAAACTTTGGTGCCCTTGTAACTTCATATGATATGAACTTTTATCCAAATCACTTATCTCTGCGTCACAGTTTCCCCCCACCCTGAACAACCAGGGCCTACAGCTACAACAAAAGCTTAGGATTCCTTGGAGCATTATCCAAGTCCTGTATTCTTGCCAACATGCTTGTTGCAGAAAGGAGTGGAAACAGCTCATAAGAAGACTTTCATGGGAACCTGAGGAAAACATCTTCATTCCTAGGTTTTACTGCTAGAAGAGGGCATTTCTGCAGCCTGTGGACAAATGAAAAGCCTTCCAGCTTCACGTCTAGGGGAGCAAACCAGCCTGGCTGCTGTGCATGCTCTGTGAACTCTGCATCAGTTTACCTCTGGCACATGCAAGTGAATATGAGAAGACATAAGAAAGTCATTGTTGGGGTCCTTCTGCATCAGAAAGGCTCTCGCAAACGTGTAAGCAATTTTGGCACTCTCTTTCATTACATCTCCCAGTTGCCCTGTTACTTCAAGGGACCCATCCTTGCTCTCCTTGTCTTTGGGTCGCCTCAGAGAAGTTTCAATAAATAGAGTGGAACCTCCTAAGAAAGAAAAGAAAAACAACAAGTTAAAGGAAAATCAAACCAGAAGATTTTGGTGATGCAGAAACAGCATCAGGAGTATGAAACTCAGCCTCTGCGATCAGATAGTAGCCTTGGGTAAAGAGCAGCTGAAACCTGCTCCCCAAATATGTTCAGGAAGGCCAGCTAGAAATCTCAACAGTCTCCATTCACTGCTTTTTTGGACTTCACTCTACAAACACAGATGCAACCCCTATTTAGTGGAAATAATCAAGTTCTTATAATGGTTTCAGGCTCTTTGTTTCCAGAGAGTAAGATGAGTTTATATTTTAACACACTTCTAGCCACTTCAGCTCTCCAGTGCCAGATATCTATTTACCTTCTCCACCATACTGATCGTTTCCCTCTTAACCACTTTAATTCTACCCAGGATCAATCTGAGTATGCAGGGGTCATCTCCTTTGCTGTGTGTGCTGTATTTCCATCGTGTGGTGCATATAACCCCCAACTTACTAGGGGAGTAATCCAACAAAGGGTAACCAGCCAACTGCACCCCCCAGACAGTGCTGGAGCACCTGTACCTGCCCTCGACACGGAGAGCCAAGGCAGTGCTGGACATACTGACAGACACAGC